CAAAAAGTGTATTTTTTTCAAATAACACATATTACTAGGGATAAACAGGGTCATTTCATCATAATAATAATCAGTGCATCATAGGGAAATATCAGTTCTAAGTAGTATGCACCCAATAACAGAGCTTCAAAATGCATTAACCTGATAGAATGGAAACTGACAGGATTGATATTGATAAATATAACTGAAGATTTCAACTCTTCTCAGTAATTAATAAACCAACTACAAAGAAAGTCAGAATGAATACAGGAGATTTGAATAACATTGTCGATCAACTTTACCCACGTGATGTCTATAGGCTACTCCACACAGTAACAGCAGAAAACACATTCTTTCTAAGTGCAAATGGAACATTTGACTAGACCATATACTGGGTCATAAAACAAGTCTCAGCAAATTTAGAAGAACTGAAATTATATAAAGTATGCTCTCTGATCAAAATGAAAGTAGACTAGAAACGTAAAACAGAAGTATTAATAGATCTAAAAATTTTCTAAATATTTGGGAAGTAACACATTTCTAAATAACCCATAGGTAAAACACAAAAGTAATTTGAAAATACTGAAATGAATAAAAATTAAAACATGACACATTAAAATTTGTATACTGTGGCTGAAATAATACTTAGACAATAATTTCTAATACTAAAATGCTCATATTAGAAAAGAAGAAAATCTCAAATAAATTATCTAAGTTTCTACCCAAAAGAAACTAACAAAAGAAGAGCAAATAAACGAGAAGTAAGCAGAAGAAAGAAAACAGTGGAAATGAGACAGCTAGAAATTAGCTAGGCACCTGTTAAGATAGGCTCAAGCCTTCTTCATGTGGTCTTTCCACATGAGCTTGCTTAAGTTTCTTCAAGCTTGGAAGCCTCAGCATAGCTAGACTTTTTACACAGCAGCCAAGATGGAGGCAGCACCATTCTTTACGGCCTTGCCTCAGAGTCACAAAGGGCCACTTCTGCCATATTCTGTTGGTTACAGTCAACTCACAAGCTTTCCCAGATTCAAGGGGAGAGGAATTAGATGCCATTTCGTAATGAAGTAGTCTCAAGATTCTAGAAAAAAATGTGGTAAGGGAGATACTGTTGTAGACATCTTTGAACAATGTAATCTATATTATAGATCTGGGGTGACATATAGTATCATTTCCATTTACCCTGAAAACTACCTTTTACATTTGTGTAGTGCAAATCTGGTGACAAATTCAACTACTGTTTATCTGAAAATGTCTTTATTTTCCGTTTATTTTTGAAGGATATTTTCACAAGATACAGAGTTTTCATTGACAGGTTTTGTTTTGTTTTTCTTTCAGGACTTTACAGATATTCTACTACCTTCTGGTTTGCACTGTTTCTGGTAAGTTGGCTGTAGCTCTTATCACTGTTCTTCATTATGTAATACGCCTTTTCTTCTTTGGCTGCTTTAAAATTTTTCTCTTTGTTATAGTTTATTTAGCAATCTGATTACAATGTGCCTCAGTGTAGCTTTCTTTGTATTTATCTTGCTAAAGTTTTTTGAGCTATTTAAATTAGTGTGTTAATACTGTTTCTCAAACCTGAGAAACTCTGAACCCAGTTATGTACTATGTCCATCTTATCTCTTAAATTACTGACTATATTAAATTATTTTAAGCCCCTGTCTGAAATTTCCAACATATGTGCCATCAGTGGATCTATTTCTATTGTCTATCTTTTCTTCTGTTACGGGTAACATTTTCTTGCTTCTCTGCGTGTCAAATTTTAGCTTTTTGCTGTAAAACTGTGTATGCTATGTGCTTGACAGTGTGGAATTGTCTTTTCTTCCTCATCCTTCAAAGGCCGTTGAGTTTTGTTGGAAGGCCTTTTTTTTTTTTTTTTTTTTTTTTTTAATCGGCAGAGTCACTTTATCTTGCGAAATTTTTAGGGTCAAGAGTAGCTCTTGGGGTTAATATTCAAAATATGTCAAAAACTCACACTAAACAGCAAGAAAAATAACTCGATTAAAAAACAGGTAAAGGACCTGAATCAACATTTCTCAAAAGAAGATATGCATATGGCCAACAGGAATATGAAAAGATGCTCAGAATCACTAATTATCAGGGAAAGGCAAATTAAAATCATAATGACACATCAATTCATACCTAATAGAATAGCTACTATCAAAATGACAAGAAATAACAAGTGTTGAAAAGGATGTGAAAAAAAGGAAATCCTTGTGCATTACTGGTGGAAATGTAAACTAGTACAGCCATTAAGAAAAACAGTATGGGAATTCCTCAAGTAGTTTTAAAGTATACAACTACCATATGATTCAACAATCCCACTACTGAGTATATATTCAGAGAAGATGAAATCAGTTTGCCAAAAAGATATCTGCACTCCTATGTTCACTGTAGCATTATCACAATAGCCAAGATGTGGACTCAATCTAAGTGTACATCAGTGGAGGAATGCATAAAGAAAATGTAATATAAATAGACAATAAAATATGGAATATTACTCAAACTTTACAAAGATGGAAATCCTGTCATTTGTGACAACATGGATGAACCTGGAGGACCTAATGTTAAGTAAGAAAAGGCACAGAAAGACAAATAGTGCATAACCTCACCTATACATGGAATCTACAAAAGTTGAACTCATAGAAGTAGACAGCAGAATGGTGGCTGCCAATGAACTCATAGAAGTTGAGTCATATTGATCAAATAATATAAAATTTCAGTTAGGAGAAATAAGTGCAAGAGATCTATTATACAACATTGTGACATTAGTTAATAACAATGTACTGAAATCTTGAAAATTGCTAAGAAAGGAGACTTTGTTTTTTTAACCACCCCAAAAAGTATATGAAGTAATACATATATTAACTAGCTCAATTTAGCCATTCCACAATGTATATATATTTCAAAACAACAAATGTACATGATGAACATATACAATTAAGAAAAAAAAACAGAGGAGCTCCTCCTCTAGAGCTTTGAGTAGCACTCTTAAGACATCATCTTCTGGGGTCTTACTGAATGCAAAAGATGTTTAGCTGGACTCCTTCATTCTGGTTGGTCAGAATTCCAATGTTTCTGTGTATGTTTCCAGTGACCTTTGGCACCCTTATTCATCTCACAGACTTCCAGTGGCTGTTCTCTGCCAAGCCTCACAGAGTTTCACTCTGCACATGGCTACTAAATTTTTTACCAAAGACTCAAGGGCTCTCCAGTGCTGATTAATAGAACTACTTCTTTGAACAATTCCTGCTCTCTGGTACCTTGCTCCACCAATCCCAGCTGTCACACCAGCCCTATAAGCCAGTCTCTGGGATTTTGCTTTTGTCTTTTCTTTGTAAAAACACTGCTTTTTGTTTGGGCTTTACTTTCCTATGTTACTATTTAGACAGTGTCCCCAGACAGAAAAATGGGGAGAATGGCAAGATTACCTTATGTGTTTCCCTTTCTTTGAAGTATCACTGCCTTTTTATGTCTTCTGTCAAATGCATGAATAGGGTTGCTTCATGTAGTTCATTCAATTTTATAATTGTTTATGGCAAAAGGGTAACTTTAATATCTTTTACTCTGTGATGGCTATAACTGGAAGTCCTATTAATGCCTTTTTAAATTAAAAATAGCATTGCCAATAAAACCTTAATTTCCACATATCAAAAGTCAAGCAAAGGAAACCAGTAAGTAGTAAAATAAAAATGTGGGCCAAGGGTGTGAGCAGACTCATATAATTTCCCATTAGTTTAATTTTCTTAGAATAAAAAAAATTCCAAGAGTCATATCATTTCTTGTTCATTTTCATTTCTCACTGACAGCTCTTCATTCTTTCCTAACCAAAGCGTAATTTTGCATTCAACTTCGAGTAGATCATTTATCATGAGTCAACTATGCCAATAATGATGCTCCTATTTCACTTTGTCAGATACTCAATCTCCCAGGCTCCCATAGAGCTGGAAGTGATCATATGGCAATGTTTTGTTCAATGAGACATATAGGAAAGTTTGTCAGGGATCTCCTTAAAAGGTTCTTATTTTCTTAATAAAAGGAATAGGAGAAGACTGGTCCATTTCCTGTCTTGAATGTGGGTCTCTTCTGACTGTAATATAAATGAAAATGAAGAGTTCACACTCTAATTATACCAAAGGAGGAGAAACGAAAGACCTGGGTCCATAATGACATCACTAAGCAACTAAACCAATACAGCAACTGTCTGCCTTTGAGAAAAATAAAATTTATTTGTTTAAGCCACTCTAAGTTTTTTATTTCTTATAATAGAAAACATTTCTGATTAATTTTTTTTTTTTTTTTTTGAGACGGAGTTTCGCTCTGTCGCCCAGGCTGGAGTGCAGTGGCCAGATCTCAGCTCACTACAAGCTCCGCCTCCCGGGTTCACGCCATTCTCCTGCCTCAGCCTCCCAAGTAGCTAGGACCACAGGCGCCCGCCACCTTGCCCGGCTAGGTTTTTTTTTGTACTTTTTAGTAGAGACGGGGTTTCACCATATTAACCAGGATGGTCTCGATCTCTTGACCTCGTGATCCTCCCGTCTCGGCCTCCCAAAGTGCTGGGATTACAGGCTTGAGCCACCGCGCCCGGCACATTTCTGATTAATTAATGCACACAGCATTTATTCTTTAGACTAACAAGAGTTTGCATATAAGATGTAGCTAGTTTTTAAATAGAATATTAGAAGAAAGGTGTTAGAAGCTACATTCTTTTGAAGCCTTTGGACCAATTGGGTTTTCTTTAGTGTCTATTAAATGCACGCCTCCCTTATATCACCCTATAGATTGCAAACTTCCTTGTAGCTAGAGATCTTCTCTTTTAAATATGGATCTAAGCACTTCTGGGAGTTCAAATTAGCTTGCTGATAAACTCTATTTCTAGATGTTCTATAAGTTATCTCTGTTATCTAGGTATTCTTTGACTCCATTAGGAACAAGGACCCTAAACACCTAAAACATTTTTCCCCCCCCAGAAATGAGTTTGCTGGTAAGACAAACAAGCACAGGGATGGTCATTGTCTTACGTTCACATTCTCTGACGTCCAAGTTGAACTGCTGTAATGCTCCCAAGGTGAGCTGCCGCACTTCAGCTTCCAACAAAAGTTGCATCAAGGATGTAGCTAAATGCTTGCAAGCTGACATACACGCTGTCTGGGCCACCTTTCCCTGAAATACAAGAGTGTAAATCATAAAGTTAATGAATCTAACATAAATTAAAATAAAATTTCAACAAAACTTAAAATCACTTCTTTTTCAATTAGGAATTTCCCTAAAGTTCTCCTCATCATAATACCCTTCCATTCAAATAATCCTGGAATTAACATCTGATGGCAATCATCTTATATAATAGCTCCATCAGTAGCTGTAACACTAAGGTGAAATTCACAAAGCCCAGTTATTTAATCAAGAATTACTTCTTTTCTAAATTGAAAGCAGACAAACAATATTGGAAATCTTAAGTAAAGTGAGAAACAATATTCTACAATATTGTAGAATACATTATTCTACAGAGAATAAATTTCAGAAACTTCCTTCCAAGTTAAAAAATTCTTGAAAATCAAATGTGAACAATAATCCCTACTGCATCTAGAAACCAGTGTTTACTGCTTTATGATTTAACACATATAAAATGAAAATAATTATGGCCGGGCGCAGTGGCTCACGCCTGTAATCCCAGCACTTTGGGAGGCCGAGGTGGGTGGATCACAAAGTCAGGAGATCGAGACTATCCTGGCTAACACGGTGAAACCCCGTCAAACCCCGTCTCTACTAAAAATACAAAAAATTAGCCAGGCGTGGTGGCGGGCTTCTATAGTCCCAACTACTTGGGAGGCTGAGGGAGGAGAATTGGCATGAACCTGGGAGGTGGAGCTTGCAGTGAGCCAAGATCGCGCCACTGTACTCCAGCCAGGGGACAGAGTGAGACTCCGTCTCAAAAAAAAAAAAAGAAAGAAAAGAAAAGAAAATAATTATTTAAAACAAAAAGATTACCTGAAAAAAATAATTGAGGGGATGCATTTTGTTTTCTTAGAAAATACTGAGATTTATGAATATAAACTCTAGGTCAATTTTGAAAATATGGATTTTAAAATTAATATTTTAGTGTCTTCTTTAAAAGATTCAAGGTACTCTACATTTAGTGAATTATATAAATTTCATATCTGTTATTTATCATCTTTTTCAAAAGACAGGATGATATATGTTTTAAAAAGACTATGATCAATTTAGTGAATCATCCTTCTTTTTTGAAATTACAAAATCTTTCAGCCATACAGAAAAATACAGAATCATAAGATGAATACTTACGTATCCCCTAAACATTACAAATACAGTTTAAGACCCTGTGTGACCTCCTTAATCATTTTCCTCCCACTCCCCAGAGATGACCATTATTGGTATTAGGCATCCCATTTGTTTTTTAAAAGTACTATTATGACAAGTATATAACCAGAAACAATATGTTGTATTATTTTACATATTTTGAAGCTTTCTATAATATTATGTAGGTCCTTCTGCAACTTCCTTTTGCAGGTGAATATTATGAATGTGAAAATTTTGAAGTGTATTGCATCTAGTTGTAGTTTATTCCTTTAATTGTTCCATAGCATTCCTTTTTGGAAGTAAACCACAATTTATTTGGCCATTCCTCTTATGCTGGATATTTAGGTTATTTCTTTTTCTTTCTTTCTTTTTGTTTTGGCTATTATAAACAGAGTAAGTCAGTTCTAGTAAGAGATCATGAAAATGAAAGAGCATGACTACAGTGTCCCTTTTATATGTTTTTCATATGTTATACTGGGTCAGTATGATTCTAGCAGGATTTAAACAGAAAAACTATAAATAAAAAATATCATAATACATTTTAAAACTTACATAATTTTATATAATTTGGATAATTTCTTTGGAATTACTTTTTGAAGCTACTAGGATGAGGGGTATGAAGACTGTGATCCATAATATATATGCTTGTATGTAAAGACAAACACAAGTGAAAGCTAGACTCCCAAATATCTGGTTAAATGACTCTGCTTATGGTATGTTCTGATTTACATTGTCCCTAGATATTTCGTAGAGTATTACTTCATTGCATAATCATCAGCACTTTTATAAGTTTTTCTGCTAATTTTTCTACTAATTAAACAAAAGATATTTTATAGATTTTATGTCTTTGATTACTTTGTGGAATTGAATATTTTCTAAATTTGTATTTATTTGACTAAAATCTTATTTGTAGCATAAAAAATAATGATGACCTATTTTAGTATACAGACTATACATTTTCCTCATCTCTATGGTTTCATCTGTATTTTCTGATGGGCCACACTCTGGATGATTTAAAACAACAAAGGAGTTAATTTAGAGATCAAGTAGAACAGATACAATAGAGGCAAAAACAAATTCTAAAGAGAAAAGTCACATCATAAAAGAAATCCACATTAAATTACTTGGTTTTAATTAAACCCACTAGAGACCTAAGACAGGCACCTCCAAAGAAAAACAGGGTTCAACATAATGGTCAGGCTATGCCCACTATGAACTTTCAGAGGGGACAAAGGTGTGAGACCAGCACAACTTACTGAACATTATTCCCCATGGCTTGCTTTTGTCAACTTTGTTGAAAATCAGATGGTCATAAGCGTGTGGAATTATTTCTGGGCTCTCTATTCCATTCCATTGGTCTGTGTGTCTGTTTTTGTACCAGTACCATGCTGTTTCGGCTACTGTAGCCCTGTGGTATAGTTTGAAGTCAGGTAACGTGATGTCTCCAGCTTTGTTCTTTTTGCTTAGGATTTCCTTGGCTATTCAGGGTCTTTTTTGGTTCTATATAAAGTTTTAAATAGTTAATTTCTAGTTCTATGAAGAATGTTATTGATAGTTTGATAAGAGCAGCAATGAATCTGTAAATTGCTTCGAGCAGTATTGCCATTTTAACTATATTGCGTCTTCCTACTCAGGAAAATGGATTGTTTTACCATTTTTTGTGTCATTTCTGATTTATTTGAGCAGTGTTTTATACTTCTTATTGTAGAGTTCTTTCATGTCCCTGGTTAGCTGTATTTCCAGGTATTTTATTCTTTTTGTGGCAATTGTGAATGGGATTGGGTTCCTGATTTAGCTCTCCACTTTGGTGCTGTTGGATGCTATTGATGTACAGGAATGCTACTGATTTTTGTACATTGATTTTGTATCCTGAAACTTTGCTGAAGTTGTTTATTAGCTCAAGGAGCTTTTAAGCAGAGTAGCCATATACAGAAGATTGGAATCAGACTCCTTCCTTATACCATATACAAAAATCAACACAAGATGGATTAAAGACTTAAATGTAAAACCTAAATCTATAAAAACCTTGGAAGATAACCTAGTAAACACCTTTCTGGACAAGGGAACTGGCAAAGATTTCATGACGAAGACCCTACAAGCAATTGCAACAAAAGCAAAAACTGAAAAATGGGATCGAATTAAACCTAAGAGCTTCTGCACAGCAAAATAAACTATCAACACAGAAAACAGAAAACCTACAGAATGGAAGAAAATATTTACAAACTATGCATCTGACAAAGGTCTGATATCCACAATCTATAAGGAACTTAAACAAATGTACAAGCAAATAAACAAACAAACCCCCTTAAAAAGTAGGCAAAGGACATAAACAGCCACTATTCAAAAGAAGTCATACATGTGGCCAACAAGCATATGAATAAATGCTCAATATCACCAATCATTAGAGAAATGTAAATCAAAACCAAAAGGAGATATCATCTCATACCATTCAGAATGGCTATTAGAAAAAAAAAAATTTTTAAAAACAGATGCTGGCAAGGTCGCAGAGAAAGAATACTTATACACTGCTGGTCAGAGTGTAAATTAGTTCAGCCATCGTGAAAAGCAGTGTGGTGATTCCTCAAAGAACTAAAAACAGAGTACCCATCAACCCAGCAATCCTACTATTGAATATATAACCAAATGAATATAAATTGTTCTACCATAAAGACACATGCACACGTATGTTCACTGCAGCACTATTCACAATAGCAAAGTCATGGAATAAACCAAAATGCCCATCAACGGTAGACTGAATTAAAAAATTAGGTACCTATACACCACGGAATACTACACAGCCATAAAGAAAGAATGAGATCATGTTCTCTGCAGCAACATGGAAGGCACTGGAGACCTTTATACTTAGCAAACTAAAGCAGGAACAGAAAACCAAATGCCTCAGGTTCTCACTTATAAGCAGGAGCTAAATAAAGAGAACACATGGTCACAAAGAGGGGACTAACAGATGCTAGGGCCTGCTTGAGGGTGGAAGATGAAAGAAGTGAGAGATCAGAAAAAATACCTATCAGGCACTATGCTTACTACCTGGGTGACGAGATAATCTGTACACCAAACCCTCATGACATGAGTATACCTATATAACAAACCTGTCTGTATACTCCTAAACCTAAAAGTTAAAAGAAAACAAACAAAAAATGAAAACAAACAAAAAAAGGTGTGAGACTCTATAGCTTTTCAACAGTGAGAGTAGGAATAGAGTGAATGAATGAAGCAAGACTAAAGCAGATGCCCAGAGACAGTATAGCAGATCAGAAATCAGAGAAAAGGTTAAGAAACTGCCATCTCTTGGGAAATACTACACACCAGATGTGCTACACTTAGGCACTTGATATATTTATGTAATCCTCACAATTACCCCCCCAAAATTGGTATTATTCTTTTCTTGTACATAAATAAACTAAGACTCAATGAACTTAAGAAATTTACACAAACTCATACAATTATTAGGTACTTCTACCCAATTCTTTTTTTTTTTTTTTTTTTTGAGATGGCGTCTCGCTCTGTCGCCCAGGCTGGAGTGCAGTGGCGCAATGTGGGCTCACTGCAAACTCTGCCTCCTGGGTTCATGCCATTCTCCTGCCTCAGCCTCCGAAGTAGCTGGAACTACAGGCACCCACCACCATGCCCAGCTAATTTTTTTTGTATTTTTAGTAGAGACGGGATTTGACGTCTTAGCCAGGATGGTCTCGATCTCCTGACCTCGTGATCCACCCGCCTTGGCCTCCCAAAGTGCTGGGATTACAGGCTTGAGTCACCGCGGTCTACCCAATTCTTAATCTGTGTCATTCCACAGATATATCTAGGTAATACATCACCTAAAAAGA